TTCCTTTCACCCTCTTTACCTATCACATGCTGCCTTACGGACAAACAATAGCGTTTCACTGTTTGACTGAAGCAAACCCCTTTGGCATGGTTTGCCTTAATTTTGCACTTTAAGATCTCAGCGAACGAACCATCATGAGTCCACTGAGTGGACTGTGACACCCAGTACACCAAGAACATCTCCTCTTAGCCACTAAAATGCAGGATCTTTAGCTGTAGGAAGAGGGGCTTGGCTGAGATGTGAAGAACCTGGGCAAGAAGGTGCAAACCAGAACACACCCGGAGTTCCGTCAGAGAGAACAAAGTGCCGCCGAAGGGAAGCCAGCAGGGAAACAGGGGTACTGGCCTCAGCCAGGGTCCTGAGAACAACCAAGCTCCAGAATCCTCCCAGCTGACTCTATCATCTTTGAAATACACACAGATTAAGTTGGGAAGGGTTCTTCAGTCAAACCTCCCACTCCAAGCAAGGATCATGCCATCACATGGCTCAGGGCTATGTGTCTCTCTCCTCAATTCTTCCTCTTCCACGCTTTTGTCAACAGCATCCTATGCCTTGTGTTCCCAGCTCCAGTACAGCAATTAAGAACAAAACCTGGGCATCACTTGTGAAAACCAACATGGATTCCCTAAAAAGTTTAGTTCCAAAAAGGAAAAAAAAAAAAAAAAAGACAGGAAAAAATGGATGGAAACCAACAGCAAACACTGCTGTTAAACCCACCACTATCCATCAAAGAATCAGGAGCATAACTCAGGGCAAAACCAGATGTAATTGCGCCAAGGCTGACTAGGAAGCTTCCAAGACCAAGAGGTGACTAAGGGCTCTGAAAACTCCCAGTTATCACCAGACCTTAACATTACATCTCTCAGCCAGAGTCCCTAAGATGGTCCACAATGTTCTTCTCAGTTAAAGCGAAGGGTTTGTGTCCCTCCGCAGCTCCCAACCAGCCGCACGGCCACCAAGCAATCCTGTTAAGGAAGACCAATGTGACCAAGTTAGGACGCATGTGTCCTTGGCATCACTGTCCCCCCCCCAGAACAGGACAGGGTGGGAGGGAGACACTGAGCCCTTCCCAGACAGCGTTAACAAGCTGCCTGGTGAGCAGACGTGGGGCCTCCCCAGCCAGCACAGCGGGCTGGCTGAGTGGCTCGGGTCAACTCCTGATGTGCTCTGCAGGGGCCAGAGAGACGGTACAGGACAAACCGCAGGGCAGAACCCGCAGAGCCAGCGGCGCTGGCAGCAGGCTCCGCCGACACCTGCTGGGAAATGCAGGTCTTGCAGCCAACAGCGGCTGCATGACACTTCCGTGCTCTTTCTTCCACAGAAAATCAGCGAGCCAGCACAGCAAGGGTTGTTTGCTCTGAAGCTTACTCGGCAAGCTGTTTTCTACCCATTCACCTTCACTAACCCTGACTGGACAAATCCTTATTTCAAACACTACGGCCACCAGTTCTGCCTACAACCTCTCCTCGTGATGCTTTGCTGAGAAGTCCACAAGTTCATTAGTATTTCAGAAACAAAAACAATCTCCTCGGTGCCAAGCCCAGAGTGGGTAAATTTCAGGGGCCTGGGATTCCTCCACATAAACAACAATCTACATGCCCACAGTGCAACTATGAGGAAAACCCCCTGTTCCCAGCTTTCCTGCTGCAGTCAGCTGCAAGCATGCACCGACACCCAGAC